TGATAATAGAGACAATATCAACTATACCAGTTCATTTCGCAAAATAAAAGACAATAACTCGTTAAATGAATAGTCATTGAATGGATATTAATGTTAGGCGTCAACAGTGTTTGAACAAACATTTAATATCCTATAAATTGTGTTTATTTAAAAAAAAATTATTCAAAACTATTTATAAATTCCTATAAATCATGTTCAAGAATATTCTGAAAGACAGAGTCATATTAGTGGACATACTGTCGGTGCTGTTTGGCATCAGCTCATGGGTGGCCGTGAATGGGGTCTGGACTCAAACCCCTTTATTAGTGGAGAGACTACCTGAGCAGTGGAACCTTACCTCCTATGTGGTGATGATCGTTCAGTTGGCTAATATCGGTCCAATTGTCTACTCAATACTCAAATTTAAATTCTCACTTAAAGTAAGTGTTTTTAGTTTTCAATAAGCCATGCACTTTGGTATTTCACCTGTAACTAACTACTTAGTTTAATATGATAATGAACCAAGGTTACTGAATTACCCTATTGTCTATTGGAATTACAAATGTCAATTATAAGCTTATTATAAATTAATAATAAATGATTGATTACTATAATAATTTAAAGTTTCAAGATTTAGGATTTATTATAAATTTATGCACTTTGAGTAATTTCATACACAAAATACACACAAAATACACACAAAAATTGTAAAAATATAAATATATAAACAAATATACTTTATCATTTTATATCTTATAAAAATTCTGTGTATTACCTACTTATGAATAATATAGGCAATTGAAAAGCCATGCATTCACGTCACACTAGGCATCGGTGCTGTGGCCTGTCTTTTATTATCCATATTTTGGGACAAAATCACAGTAATTAATGGCACCAAACATTCGGTGGCTTTCCTTATACTGACGGCACTGTTAGCTGTGGTCGACTGCACCACATCTGTCTTATACCTGCCATTTATGGCACACTTTAAGTCCAAGTATTTGGTCTCATATCTGACGGGTCAGGCATTAAGTGGACTCATACCTAGCTTCATAGCTTTGGCGCAAGGTAAAATACATGTTTGTGCATTGACACACTTAATTAACAGGCATATAGCTTACAAAAATACAATTATTTAACCTATACAAACTTTTTAAAATGAACAACTAGTAACATAATGTTTAACATCCAGGCGCTAGTGATAACCCTGAATGTGTGAACTCGACCACCACTCACGAGGTGTACCCCAAATACCCTGAGCCGAGGTTCTCTGTCAGCGTATTCTACGTGTGTCTGTTAGTACTGGTGCTGTTCAGTTGGACAGCCTTTGTACTACTGAACCGAATGGGTCGGTGCCGAAAGGAACTGGTGCTCTACTCGAAGAAGAGCTCCGGATTCAAGGCTGGGTTGGGCCGGACCACGAGCACCGGTAGCGACGTCTCGTCCGACTCTAGTATTGGCTCCAAAACCGAGTCATTTGACAATCACTCTGAAAGTAATGCAAAACCTAATAACGAGAGTAATGAACAAAACATATCCCGAAAGACATTCATTACATTACTGTTAACTCAGGCCTACATATGCTCTCTCACTAACGGACTTCTTCCCAGTGAGTGGACAGACACCTAATATTTTGTATTTAATTAGGTACTTAATTAATGTTAACTTATTTCTATGGCACAGGTATTCAAAGCTACAGTTGTATGCCATACGGAAATACAGCATATTTCTTAGCGGTCAACATATCGTCAATCGTGAACCCAATCGCATGTTTGATCGCATTTTATGTAAAACCCAAATGGATTATCCATACACTGCCCGGTGTTATTAGTTTGGGAACGGCATGTGCCATCTATGCCATGGTCACAGCCGTACTATCGCCCACACCTCCCCTCCAGAATACAGGAGCTGGTAATGCGCTGATAGTGTTGACATGGATAGGTATCGCCGGTCTGTTTGCCTATTCCCGGGCCTGTATAGCATCCATACTTCGCAATAATACCGGTGCCGGACATAACTCGCTGTTCTTTTGCGGTGTATTCACGCAAATTGGGTCGACCTGTGGAGCAGTCATCATGTTTTGTATAATCAATTTCACCAGCTCATTTGTCTCTACCTCTGCCTGTGGTTAACATTATTTATAAAATGTGTCATAAATTTATTACACATTTACTAAACATTTATTATAAAAATAGGATTTAATTAAAAATTCATTATAGTTAACAAAACAATTTATTTATTTATTTTATTTTCACCAGAATAATTCAATTAAATGATACTTTAAATTAAATGCATTTGCACATTTGTATATTTTAAGTTACAAAACTTGTCTGGATAACTTAGAATATTTCTTATAAAGCAAATAAAAATATTTAAAAAATGCTTTTACAAAATTATCGTTTAGTATCAAGGTTTTGTATACAATAAAAATATTATTAATATTGGTTGAGAATAAAAGTATATATTTAATTGATTATATTTTTAAGGGTTTTGATCTCTATACCGGGAAACCCTTTCCCGACCCGGCCCTTAATATTCAAACCCGTTCCCGTCCGAAACCCTTAAGGGTCGGGTCGGACAAGGGTTTTTGTCGGACAAGGGTTCCCAACTTCCTATTCTACTACAGACTATACACAACGGGAGGCAGTCATGAGCTTTAGGACCATAAATGAGGCTCAGGGAGGTCTGCACCGTATTCATGAACACTATAACTATGGACAGCCTGTTTACGGTATTTTAATTAATAATAATATATCAGTAGATGAGTCCGATATTTATTCTAACTCTACTAATACTGATATTGGTAAAAACTTGACCGATATTTTGAATACCTGTCCCTTTACAAGTCCTGATGTTAATGTATCACATTGCCCTGTTAATAATTACACACAAATATGTATCCCGAGTCGGAAGTCACAATGGGTTGGCTTATGTTATGACCACATTCTTTACAGAAATACGAGTCCCAGTGGTTTACATTTGATTCAAATAAATTGGTGTTCAAATATAGTAAATACAAGGGAGATGTCAGTAAAAGTCATATAAAACTCCAATTCCCACATTCAGTTTGAATGTAACATATACTTCACAATCATTTGGCCGTATCTGTCGGCGTCTCACATACCCTACCGTCTCTGTGCGGCTACCAAAGGGGAGGGCAGCAAATGGTTGACCTTTTTCAGGCCTTAAAAGTGAGGATTAATTATCTTAATTATAACATTGCTATCAGTTTTCCGATCAATAGTTTTGTGGACACGTCTGTAACTAATCCACTCTATAATACGCTGATCAGCACCGGTAGTACTCTCTGATCTGGAGATAACATAACATGGTGTGAATAAAATTGTTTGAAATATATTAGCATTTTACAGATAATTACATAATTAGTACTTCAATATCCACTGGAAAACTGTCATACAACTGATGAACCATGTCATATATTTTACTCATATAATATAGTCATCAAGATAAATTCAACTATATAACACTAATATAAACTAAAGGATTAATCACAATGAAATAAGGTTTATCATGTGCTTTAAAACGTGATTTTTTAAACCAATTACTGTATATTAATTGTATTTCTGTTTATATTAAAATATCTGGATTAATATCACAATAAACCACATGGTCATTTATTGACCGAATAATTACAATTGGCTATAATGGGCTCCAATTATAGTAAAAAGTCTTCAAACATCTGGAAGTCCCTTAAGAAGCCATTCCAGAAATCAACACAAAATAGCAATGAAGTCGACTCCACCACCAAAAGCGACGTACCGTTGGGTATATTCTGGGACATCGAGACGTGTAGTATCCCTAGAAAGAGGTCGGCGCCCAGTGTTGTCTACCGGATCCGGCAATTTGTGGCCGACAAGCACCGGGAGTGCGGCTACGCCACCGAGTTTTACTGTGTGTGTGATTCGCACCAACTCGGGCGCCGACACCACAACGATCTCAGCAAAAGTGGTGTATCCGTACAGCACGTGGACCCCGGGTTTAAGCATAATAGGCTACAGGCGCTGATGACGGTGTTTGCCGACAAATACCGGACCGATGGGGCGGTACTCGTGTTGATCACAGCGGACGTGGAGCTCGCCGAAGGTGTCGCTAATATCAGACGTAATGGCATTCATGTGGTACTCATTCAGGGCGTCAGACATTCACCCGATTTGAAGGACTCCGCTAATGAGTACTATGTCTGCAATCAACTCATTAGCAGATCAGCTGGAAATGTCGCCGAGAATAGTATCACTAAACCTGTAGTTCCCATAAACCATGACATAAAAACAAATATATCGGCGAAACCAATAAAAATTACGGCTGAAGTGCATAATGACGACACCGATAATAGTGTCACCAAACCGGAGGTTCCCCTAACCAGTGGCACTAAAACTAATAAATGTGAGAAAAAGCATAAAATTAAAGCTGAAGTGCATAACAATGACCTGGATAATTGTATAAATAAATCGGTGGTCACGAGACCTGTTATCATTACAAATGAGGGTGATAAGCAAGGCAAATTGGTGATCGATGTCAAAAGTACTAACAATAATGATTGCAAATCAGTGGTGACCCTAAGCGCTGACCGCAAACGTGCGAATGAAATATGGGTTCAAGTAATCCGACGATTAGTGGACAGTTGGGGTGATTCACAAATTACTGGTCATTTGATTAAGAGTGTCGCAGCAATTGATAGCAAAGTACCGATTGGTGAGGGTATGCAACGGCTTCTAGTGGTGGCTACCAGTGCCGAGGGGTCGGCTATGTTAGTAAAGGGCGCCAATTATTATAGTGAAACCGAAGATCATATAAAGTGGAAGAAATACCGACCGTCTCATCGGAACAGTGGACCAAAACCTTTGAAAACAAATTCATCAGGATAACATGATAAAAACTTTGTGCAAAACTAACCCTGTAATATTTGATAGCAAATACAAGTAAACAAAGTAATTATTTAATGAAGTAAATGTTAGAGTTAATATATCATTAGTTTCTAAAATTGTGTATTTTAATATAAATGCACCTATTTATAAAAATTTATAATTAATTTTGTTAAAATTATATAATCATTAAAACTATTTAACTAAAGAATAAATAAATTAAATACCCATGAAATAAAATTTATTACAACTATACAATTTTGATTAATTAATTTCATTCTTTGAATATTTAAAAAAATGAGATACCCTGTACATAGCATAAAATAATTAGGGAAATGGTTAAACTGACTAAAATTAATGTTGGGAAGCGTGAAAGGATAGCACATTAAAAAAGTACCATAGTCAGGTAATTAAAAACAGAATCCAATAGGTGGCCACATTTAATGAGATTCTTGACAATTGGTTAATAAAATATTTTTAAAACTACATAAAATCAGTTCTTAAACAAATTAAGCTCTTAATATTATAAACTCATTTAATGTGTTGTATTATATAAAAATGTACAATTATTTGAGTCTTAAATGTAAAATACCAACTTTAGATTTTAATAACTTTTCGCATCGATTTATTTTCTAAATTTTAACTATATTAAAGGTGATTTATTATTATTTTTTTTGTAAAACAGGGTTTATAAATAGTAGTTAAATCAAATATAAAATTCATCATTATATAATTATATTTGCATATTTAATTATTTATTGTAAGATTATTTTAAAATATAGATTTATATTTTATCTAGATTTAGATAAATTGCAAAATAAACATTTGATGATATACAGGACGGTTATAATCAATTTAGTACATTATTATTAATGTATGATAATATAATCATTACAAAGTGACGTGGTAATGATGATTAATTAAAAATTTTAAATAATGTTGTTAAAATTGGAAATAATGTACAGTATAATAATATCGTTTTATTTACCAATATAACATATCTAATATCTAAACGGTAAAACAATTTTGTAATAAACAAAATTAGCTTACCTAATTAAAATTTTTGTCAAAATATAAAAATAATATAATCTAAGAATATATGTACCAATATGCTTGGTAAATATTGCAATAATCATAGAAAATATATGTGTAATACTCACTGTAAGGATATTATAGCACTAATTGAACCTTAAATTGCAAACAACAGATGATTATCAAAAATATTGATTTTAAAATTACTTATAATTTCGTAAATAAATAATATCATGTATTTCATATGATATCGTATGTTATCGTATGTTTTAACAATAAGTGCTTGAATACCTTTATACAGTCTAATGAAACTAATAGATTGTGGAATTTTTAATAACTAGTCTAGCACATAGAGATTAAATACAAGATTAATTGTTGCTCGCTG